CTCCGGGCCGGCCCCTACCGACCCCAACCCTCCTACCAGGCCCCATGCCGGCCCTTCCCGCCCTCCCGCCTTCCCAGGGCCGCGAGGTGGCCCCGATGTGGCGAGCCACCCCGGGCGTGCTCAGCGCGGGCCCCGTGGTGTCTCCGCAGGACGAGCTGGTCGCGCGCCGGGCGCCGCCGGGCATGGCCGCTGCCGGGAAGAGCGCCCCGCGGACCCCGCCGCCGCGCCTGCTGCTGCCCCTGCTGCTGCCCTTGCTGCTGCTGCCGGCGGCGTCCCGCGCGGGCGCCTCGGAGGAGGAGGAGGAGGTCCCGGCCGAGTGGGTCCTGCTGCACGTGGTGCAGGGGCAGGTGGGCGCGGGCAACTACAGCTACTTGCGGCTCAACCACGAGGGCCGCATCGTGCTGGCCATGCGCAGCCTCCGCGGCGACGCCGACCTGTACGTGTCGGACCGCACCCTGCACCCCAGCTTCGACGACTACGAGCTGCAGGCCGTCACCTGCGGCCGCGACGTGGTGGCCGTCCCCGCGCACTTCCAGCGGCCCGTGGGCATCGGCGTGTACGGGCACCCGTCGCACCGGGACAGCGAGTTCGAGATGAAGGTGTATTTCGACCGCACGGTCCAGCGGCACCCGTTCGGGGACCCCGCGTACTCGGACGGCGCGGAGGCGGGGCACACGCACGCCTACGAGCCGGAGGGCGCGTCGCGGGAGGAGGAGTCCCTGCTCTGGACCATCCTCCTCGGCGTCCTGAAGCTGCTCCTGGAGATCCTGTTCTGATCGGGCGCGGGGCCCCCGTCGCGCCGTCTGTGACCGTGGCGGCCGGACACCCCGTCCCGGGTGGGAACAGCCGGAAACTCCCGTCCCGGGTGGGACGGGAAATAAAGCCATACAGCGTGTTACCTCAGTGACCCCACACGCAGGAGAAGCGGCAAGCCCGGTACTTGTTTTCTCTTAAAGCCCAGAATCCCTGTGAGCCGTGTGCACAGTAAATGCCTCCCCTCCCCTGCACCAGCGTCAGGCGGAGCAGGAAGGCGGCGGGGACTCAGGTTTATGTAGAAGAAATCGCAGCAGCAGCCCCGCGCGGAGCAGAGTAAGAGCGCGACAGCGTGGTCACCGTGAGTCTAAAGTTCCGGTGTGTGAGCCAGTCTGCACCCTCGGCAGGAGGGACTGAGGCCCCCAAACCCCCAGGGAGGGCCCGCCTGCCCAGCAGGTGTTCCTGGCTTTTTTTAAAAAATATGTTTTTATTGATTTCAGAGAGGAAAGAAGAGGGAGAGACAGAAATATCAATGATGAGAGGAAATCATTGATCGGCTGCCTCCTGCACATTGGACCGAGCCCGCAACCCAGGCATGTGCCCCTGACCAGTCTCGAACCTGGGACCCTTCCGTCCGCAGGCCGACGCTCCATCCACTGAGCCACACCAGCTAGGGCCGGTGTTCCTGGCGGTAATGCCATTCTCACCCACTGCTCCCCAGCCCAGCTCTCCGCCTGCCTATTGTGAGTCTCCCATTACTAAACCATGTCGTGGTCCCCGTGGTAGGCCAGAAACAATAAAGATTAGGAAAACTGCCTAAAAATAATCGCAACTTCCAGGCCAATGGAGGAATAATTATTTCAAATGAAATCACCTAATACTTCCCTCTGAATTTCCAAAGAAGCCATGACACTAAGAGAGAAACCACCTTTTGGAAGACGAACTGTTTCTCTACCTGAAACTGGTTCCCAGGGTACGAGCAGCTTTTAACAGAAATGAGTCAACTTGCAGATTCTAAGCACAGAGTTCATTTCAAAAATCTTTTATTGGCATAAAAATGAGAACTGGAAATAAGGTGGCACCAAATAATTCACTTAAATGCATATTACAGTGTTGGGGTCGAGAAACTACTTTATCCCTCTTTGCTGTTTTTCCCCCTTCTGCCCACTTTCCTGGGTGTTGGGGGAGCTCGCTGACAACAGTCACAAATCCAGCGACCTAGGAGAAAAATGGTTAGTTAATAGAGAATGAAATGGAATTTTTTTAGGACTGAACTGTAAACCCATTGAGCTCTCCTTCCTTGCTATCACTAATGCTGCTCCTCTGGGTTTGTGGGAGGAAGGGCACTACTGCGTTCCTTAATTTAAGGAGAAAAATGTGAACTCCTTTGAAGATAATCAGTGTCATCAATGCCAAGTGACAGTCAGGCGGGGGGCGCGGGCAGAGCAGTGCTATGGACCTTTAGAACATCCTCACCCTTTCTGAAACCCAGCACTACAGGCTCAGGAAGTTCAGCCATTGGTACCGTAACATCCCCTGTTATGTCTCGCCCATTTCAGCCCTTTCGCTGCTGCTCACTGGCAGCTGTGTCTTAGCATCCTTGTCCTGGTGGGCGAGGCAGACACAGCTTTAAACTGACCGAGTGTCGACAGCACGGGGATCAGCTGCCCTCCGTGCTTGTCTGAATGACTGCAGGACTTCAGGTAGTTACCTAAGTTGCTTATTCTTAGTGATTCCCAGGAAGCGAAGTTCTGGCATTCTTACAGCGTCATGTACGTGTCAACTATGCAAGTGAGGTCTGACACTGCACAATTACGTGTGATGTTTCAGTCCAGATACTGTGATATATCCTTCAATTTTGTGTTCCTTCTAAAGTTACCTGGGTTGTTACGCTGCCTCAATTGATAGAAATCTGGACCAATATGTCCAAAGGCATAGGAATCATTTTAACTGTGTCCATGACATATGAAAATAAAATCAAGGCTTTGAAAAAAAGGGGTGCTGTCGCTTTAGCTATTTTAGTAGAAAACAGTGGCTCTTTCTACGCACTGAGCTCGACACCAAACCTGGACTAGTCACCCTGACACCACAGTGTCCTTGGCTGGGAGGGCCGGGCACGGACGGCGGGTGGATGTGCGGGGGAAGGGGGGGGGGGTCACAGCACAGGCCCACGTCACTGGCGTGTGCCGCCTTCAGGTCAGGGCTGGGAGAATCCCCTCGCAGGGGCCGGCCTTTCGTTTGTGGTCGTTACCTGATGGGATAGCACTGAGGCCCACACAGAACGTGTGGTAGCCCCTGTCACACACATCACAGAACATCATTTCCTCTTCATGGTGGGGCTGTCCACATATAATGCAAGTTTTACATTCCATGCACTGCCATGGGTAGGTCTTAATCATAGCAACAAGCTCCATGGTCATATCCAGGCAAGAAGGATGGCCTAAACCAAAACCAAGATTAGTAGGATTCACCAAGCACAGGGAATGTTTACCTTAAAATGGCTAATAAAATGCTAGCTGCTTTGTGAGTTCTCAAGAATGGCTGCTACGATGGTTAAGATCATCAAAGAGAAATGAAAATGCAGAGTTGAAGAAAATGCATGGACTTAACCTACGTCTTACAAATGACCCTTTAATACTTGGTAACTCTCTGGGGCAAGTCTAGCTGACAACTAACACGGGTGGTTAAAACGGCAAGCAGACAGGTGGTACTTACCGCTGTTCTCACACTGGGAGCAGTGTATAAGAGGTTCAGCCTTCCCTTTCTTGTTGGACTCCTTACCCTTCAGACAAATTCCACATAGAGCATTGGGAATGGCCTTTGGCTGGAAGGGTAGAAGAGGGCTATGAATTCATGCCAGAAGAACCTGCTGTGGGTTCAAAAGGAATTCTGTCACTATTGCCTCAACTTTACTTTGGTGACTCACTACTGAGGACCTTTTCGAAAGACGTAACTTGACTAAAGCCTCAGATTTCACCTTAAACTGTCAGCGGGGATCCCGCGTGAGGACTCCTGGGGCCTCCTGCGCCCTGTACAGCGAACCAGAGGGCAGACTACAACCACATGGGCACCATTCACCGAGGAGACCCAAGTTCCCGTGGCCCTTCCCACTCAGCCAGGCTCACTGAGGAGGAGACTCAGGGTGAGCAGCTTAGGCACAGGTTTTGTTTCAACACATTTGCCAAAGTTGTAAAACTGCATCTATGAAATCTAAGTTATAAAACCAAGTTTTTAACATTTTTTATTGAAAGACAGCTCATGCAGACTGTCATGTGCACAAATGTTTGTGGAAAACCAAGTTGTGAGATTATTTCCTTTGTACATCTAATAAATAATAAAAGAGCCCACATTTAGGGGCAAAGCATTCAGTATCTATAATAATAAAAAGGTAATATGCTAATTAGACCGGACGTCTTCCGGACGTCCTTCCTGACGAAGCCGGGGCCAGAGGGAAGCCAGCTGGGTCCCGGGTGCCTACAGGCAGCCCAAGGGAAGCCAGCCCAGGTCCCGGGTGGCGGAGGGAAGCCGGTGCCGGCAGCTGGGGGAAGGAAGGCCTACTCTTGCATGAATTTTCGTGCATCGGGTCTCTAGTAAGATATAAAACAAAGTTCTCAGACAAGAAAATAATTATCACTTAATAGAAATACACAGACACCCTTATATTTTGGGCACCATTCACTTCTCATATTAAAAGCATGCTCAATCCAATGGAGGCATTTGGGCTTTGAAAGAATCGGGGGCCCCGGGCATCAGAGCAGGGCAGGGGCACCGCACCCGACACCACCAGGCGGGAGGCGCTGAGCACTGCCTGGCGGGAGCGAGGCTCACTCGCGCTCCATGGGTAGGGGAGCGACGGGAGAAAAGGAAGAGGCGATATGGCCAAGTGCCTCTGGCACATCCATGTGTGGACATGGGGAGTGGAATCATTTTAAATAGAAGCCTAGCCAGATGCGTCTTGCATTTCCCTAACTGACTGAACCACAGAGAAGCCCAACAGAACTCTGACTTTGCATTTAGAATTCCATCTTTGGCACGGCTCACTGCCACCTTCAAACCTGTTCGCCTACGCAATTTGTTCTTAATTTACATTATTTAAGCATTTTTACTTTTCAAATTGTCTTTCTTTGCAAAAGATGACAGAGGCATTCAAAAATAATTTTTGTCTTATTTATTTTAAAAAGTCAACCTTATACATAAATATAATAAAAACAGTAACTCTAAACAATCACAAATAGCTCTACAAAATAATAAATACGGAAGTAAAACATACATATAAAACGACCGTTGCCTAACCTGCACCTCCTGTGCATCTTCATACCCTGCTCCCAGCGAGGGTCCTGCCACAGGCTCGCACCTCAGCCTGGAGTGTGGTGCCCTGTGGTCACAGCTACATTCTAAGCACCAGGCTCTCAGGCTCCCCTGCCTCCGTGAAAACAGCCAGGAAGCGCCCCCCAGGACCAAGTGCAGGTTCCGTTATGGTCAGACCTGTCACTGCCATCATGTACAGCGGAAGCGACCCCTCCATCTACCCAGATAAGAACCACCTGTTGGCTCCGTTACCGGCACTGCATGTGAAAGTCACGCTTCTCTAACACCCGCAGTTGAGGTCAGACACGCACTCGCCGTGCCGATGGCGACGCGTCCAGGAAGAAGCCGCACGACACGGAATTCTGTAAGGAGAGCGCCTCACAGGAGACCCTTACAGACGTCGAAAGGCTAGTCATTCACATTCTAGATCAATTCAAGTCCCACAATCACTGAAATACAACACATGAGGCACCTATGATAAAAGGGACGCCAAGGAAATCCTAGGTTTAACTTCTAAGCTTAACAGCATGTGTGTTAAACCACTTACAATTCTCCTTACCCGGCAGTCTTCATCTTGAGAACAGGGAGACGGGTGGAGGCGGAGGGGGAGCACATGAGCGGGCGCTTCCAGCATTTCCGAGATGCTGCCGGGCTCAGCACAGAAACCCTCTGTTCCCTCAGAAGCCAGTGTCTACGCCAGGACTCGGCCCGCGACAGCAGTCGGTCGCTAGGGGGGAGGCGTCTCAGGGACGGGGGATTCAGGGGAGCAGGATGGGGAGTGGGCAGAGCTCCCCAAAGAGCAATGAACAGAACACCCCTGGCATGTCTGATGATAATTCGGTTCCACTGTAACTACCGCAACCTCAGCTTCACTACTGACAAGAAAACTAATACTCATCCCAATAGTTCTCAGCACGCCAACCAAAGGCTCACAACACACCTGTTTTCCTGCTTAAAACGTAACCGAAGGTGAGTGAGACGTTCACGGTAGCACTAATACAGTTTAATTCTGTACTTGTGACGTGGGCCTGAGTCCTAGCAAGAATGCTTTAATCTCAGGTTAACGTAACCTAAACAACACTGACCTACGCGTTAAGGGCAAGCAAGACATCAGGTGCGTTTAAACATTTACATCCATGACCTTCGGCTTGAAGTATCCTAATATTTAGGCACATCTTGGCTTATTAATACTTTCATAGAGGTTAACTTTTGATAAATGTGTTCACATCAGGGTACTGAGTCTAATACTGGCCGTCCCAGACTGTGAAACGCTGACGCGGTTCCGTCCAGGAGGCCCAGTGCGTGTTCCGCAGCCAGGCTCCCGCCAGTCCGGACGGAGGGGATCTGTGCCCTCCACAGTCCGTCACCACAGCACGCGTCTCCATTCCAGCCCCACCCACGTCCCCCCACCCCCTGGCCGTGATTCCCGTGTCACTGACAGTCTCCACCCCGGCCAGTGCGCTCGCGGCCATTCCCCGCAGACCACAGCCCGCGTGTGGCACCCGCACGCTAACTTTCCAAACTTAATCTTTGGAGTTCATTTGCTTTTAGTGATTTAAGTGTTAACTTAAACCTTTAGTTTAAAAAATGATATAAGCTATACATGTGAATACAAGTATAAAAATCACGCAGCCACTGCCTATGAACAGCCCGGAAGCCAGCCCTGCTGGGTGACGCTGCATTGTCTGCCCGAGGCTGAAACACACAAGCGTGTCAGTTGATTACATAAAGGCATTTTCTAACCTAGTGTGGAATACACTGCTGAGCGCTGCTCCTTTCAGGGGAAGGCCGCGTGCGGGGGGCCGCCACGGGCCGAGGCTGGAGCTCCTGGGACCTGCTCTTCTCCCTCCAGTCCCAGCTCTGACTCAGGACAGCACTACAATTCTACTCGGCAAAACCTCCTCACCACCCACTGCTGACAGCCCTTTCAAACACCTTCCTAACCAACCACAGTAACAGGCACTCCAGACACTGTATGTTCACTTCACCACCCAAAACATGAACCTGTGCAGCCTCCCCCTACAAGCCGCCTAACCCTCCGAAGGGGACGGGGACATCGGGTGGAAATGACACCGTAGTATCGCCGACAGCCTGCTGCCCGACTCTGAGAGCAGCCAGACCAAACACGGAACAGGGTACCGAGCCGCTGCCCCACGAAACACTGTTCACACGCTCTGGCCCAGCGATGCTAACACCACGACTGCAGCCAGTCTTACTACCTCCCTCAGAGCCAGCGGAACCTGACGAGTGGCTGAAACCATCCCAGTCACAGCGGGCCCTCGACGGAGGCCGGCGCGGTGGCCCTTCTCCTACATACCAGGGTTCGCACGATGTCCGACAGCTACGGCCTTTACTCCGAGGAAACAAAGTGTAAAGTCCTGCCTAGAAAATAATTTTTTAAAAGCCCATACTTGCCTGCTGATTATTTAAAAGCAAAAAAAAAAAAGGTTCTCTTAGAAGCTGTACACATACAGAAAACAGAAGCTAAACCACAGCCAAAGTGACAGGAAGCCACCAGGAGACAGAGCCGACAGGAGGAGCGGACAGCACAGGCCAGAGGGGCGAGCGCGGCAGCAGCGGCTCCACCACGCGGAGGTTCAAGGCAAACATTTCAGGGAGAGGCTGGTCGGGAAGGAGGCTGGTCAGGGGCTTTTCTCTTCTACCTTGTACCCGGGGGCGGACTTGGG